TACATATTTAATATACAAACCTTAAGGCTTAAGGTTTGTATATTAAATATGAGCGGACCGACGGCGGAGGGGAGAGGACAAGCACGGGCTTGTGCAGAACCTAGCACCTAGGTTCCGCCGGCTTATTCTAGACTACGCGAGCGAAATTCGCGTCAGCTTAGTACGGAGCCCCACGGGTAGTGGTCGCGCGCGGCGAGCAGGATCCGCCTCCGCCCGTCGGTACTGGATCGTTACCCAGTACCGCGCCGGGGCGTCGAGGCGTCGATCCGCCCATACGCACGCGCGACCACCTCCGATCCCGCTCTACCACACTACCTGGGCTCGCCCGGTTCGAATAGCCGGTGGTGCTTCCTTTCCCCATCTTCCGGCGATCTGGAGTATCCGTCGAGCTGTGAGCAAACACCCATCTCCATGAGGGTGTTTATGCTACAACCATCAAATGTCAGTAAGCGTTCGCGTGCGCTCTAATACCGCGGGCGGTAAGCCGGCCGGAGCATAGAAGACAGTTAGTAACTTAACGGTTTCGCGTAGACGGTGTGCGCCGGGATCGGTGGCGAGTGCGAAGCGGATCGGGGCTGTATTTCTATTTACACTGCACTGTAGTATCGCATTTAAATTTTAAATTTGAACTGTACTGTAGCGCTACAATCGTGCCCAAAGCCACCACATGTTCCCGTGGCCGCCACTTGTCCCCACAGTCGCCACGTGTCCCCGTGGCCGCCCACTTGTCACCGCCATGCGCCAATGGCAACACGGGCAGGAGCGCACAAACAGACACACACACACAGACACGGAAATTTGTATAGTCGTGGAAATAATGAGTATAAGATAAAAACTGCGCACATGATAGATAAAAGGAAAACATCCTATATAGTTGACATTATACAAAATCAAATCAAGATACTTGTCATAATCTGTAGTATTTCTTTCATATGGAAATGTTTGGGACCTCTTCCGCTGTGGGTGATAGAACAGCAATCCATTGCCAAAGTGATGGTAAAATTACCTCAAATGTCAACCGGATGACAGATTACGCTGCTAATTCCAAAGGGGTGAAAATATTATTGTCATTATTCAAAATCGTTGTCATAATCAACCCCCAATCAAACTTGGAGAAATTATTGGAAGTGAATTCAACAACAACGAAATAATTGCTTAACATTATCAACTTTGGTGTAAGAGGCTGCAGTGAATGCCCATCTGGTTGTCATCTTTGTTGTCTCACTATCATTCCAGAATCACAATGTCGGTGGAATACTGGAGCTCATTGCTAGCAACATCTGAGTGATTACACTCAGCTACTATTTTGCGGGCTTCCCTTCTGCGCGCCATTTTGCAAGGACATAGGCGCGACAGAGCATCGACGAGAAACGACCCGAAAAGCTTCTACCTCATCATGACATAAGGTGCGTTCGCCGATTCTCGTGGCCGCATGACCGCTTCTGAGCGGATCAGGAGGACTCGACAAGCCGTGGATAGGTCAGTCTGTGATGGGAACTCCTCCGCGGGCTCTCGGTCTGCGTCCAGCACCCAGCACGCGGACGATGAACTCGCCGTTATCCTCTCCGATGAGGATGACGGAGGGAACGACGGAGGGGACGAAAGTGCAGGGGGATACCGCGGAGGAGAGCAAGTAGTGAATAATAATTCGGACTCCACCAGGATTGGCTGCGGATGCCGAAAGGGCTTTGACGATATCCCTGTTCCGGATACGTCCTCAATGTCCGACACCGAATGCAAGACTGCTTTGCAGGCTTACAGGCGTGCTAAAAACAAGTCGAAATGCCCGAGTACCGCGCCTAGAAGGCAGCTGTACAATCTGAACAAGAAAAAGCGATGGATGGCCGCATGCCTCTGTTCAAGTTGAAGGCCGTCTCATCTACACCATATGGAAGCCATGAGGCAGGTGTGTCTTGCGGTATCCACCATAACATCAACACAGAGCTAATGTACGCGATACACGAGGTTGCTGAGTTTTTAGGAACAGCAGTGCCTTTGCCTCTCAACAACAGCTTTGGGGTTCATGCAGTTCCACATCCTAGTGAGAATATGAGTTCAGATAGCATTGACATACAGGCGAGATTTATTCGAAAAGATGAAGCATGGGTAATAAGGAAATGTTTTATTTTAGGCGACAGAGGTGAGGAGCCAGGACGAGGCACACGCAGATCGGCCTATAGAATGGAGGACTTCGCTCGTCGTGTTGAGTTTGTTGTGGCAAAAACGCCAGATGCATCGGGAGCCGAATTGATCAAGCATTTCAAAGATTACTTGAGGTATCGGGATTCCTTTTGACGGAAATCAGATAACCCGAATTCGTCGGCAGGCCTCTGTCAATGTTTACGGCTCTCCAGATGACAACTGTAAATACATTCCCGCCCTTAAAGATAAATTGGAGGAGTGACAGGCATCGGATGGCATTTACTGCCATCACAGGGGCAGATATGAGAGATATAATGCTGGGAGTGGCCAGGGATGATCATGTCCGAGCTCGCAGAGATGTCCTCCAGAAACTCAGGCGCCAGCGCACCGCAGAAGATGATCTAACGCACGTGATATGGAATGATGGGGCTGGAGATAGATGGAAGACTAAACATAGAGATCTTCTCGATTCTGTGTCTGTTGCCGGAAAGCGTTACTTGGACTCAATGATTGTGATATTTGCTAATACTCTCGCGACAAATGATCACATTGCTGGTCTCTAAAATGTTGATGCATGTGTTTGCAAGGTGTTTCTTGATTGCTATACCCTTTACCTCATGTTGGGATTTACGTCCAATTTCAACATTGTGCCTGTCGCTTACGCTTGGATCTGTGCCAATGAGAGTATACACTCTTGGACACGTGTCTTCCATTTTATCAAGAGACATCTTCCTACTTTCTCCGTATCAGCGACTCTTGCATCAGACCTGGACAAGGGCATTACAGGTGACATTTCAAAAGTGTTCACTGAGCATCCGCCCAATCAAATGCTATGTGTAATTGATCGGAGAAAAACTTTAGCGCAATTTGGGAAAATAGCACTGGAGGTTTACGACAAAATGGTATATGCTCACACGGTCGAATCGTTGACAGGCATCAAGAACTCAGCTGAGTTCAAAGGACTCACCGAAGCGGCTCAACTAGCGATCACGGACCGCTGCGATGATCTCGCGCAATCCTTAGTGAGTTGCGCTACTGCTGGCGGGGTCACATATGGAATATATTCATCACAGGCGATAGAGTCTCAAAATGTTCATATCGCAGATGGCCGAGCCCTGGACTTGTTTAATTCTGCCATCCTGATTGCGTTTTTTGCGGCTTCGCGATACTCGAAGTGGTCGTCAAGGAGCGATACAGCCGCGCCCACCTTCCGCCGAAAATTCTGGAAAGGCTCTGTAGTGCAATATGCACCTGAAAAGGTGGGTGAAAAGAAAGGAAAATATTTGGATATGAAAAGTGGTCCGGGTTGGGGGGGACACACGTGTGAATAATTGCACAGTTTTAATTTTTAATTATTTAATTTGATTTAGTTAATTAGTTGGCATTAATTTTTCTGACACTAGATTAGATCTAGGATCTAGCGCCGCGAGCTACTGTAGTCGCTCCGGCGGGGCGATATATACCTTAGCCCTCTGACCACCAAGTCAATAAAGGTAACCCGAGTTGCCGGAGTTAGATCTCGCCTTCGTCGAAGACCCCTTCCGTTCACGCAACGCGCTTCACTTCTACGCTGCTAACGACATCCTCTATTGCTCGGGGTCCCATTCCTTTTCCTTATCCTTTTACCTTTTCTATCTCTACATCTATTTTTCCCTTAATTGTGTTGGTTCCACTGGATTCGGTTGCGACCGATCCGGTGTAGGTGTTTCAGCCATCGGGCAACACGTTGTGTAGCGCTGCTACTGTTTCAAGTTCCGTCGGAAGGCTGTCGTAACGACGCCTCCGTCGAAGGTCTTACTGTATAAGACAGAGTTAGTACCGCCTACCGCGATCGCGATCGCGCTGGTGAAGGTGTTTTTAGCCATCGGGCAACACGTCGGTAGTAGCGTTGCTACACGATTACGATCCCGTCGGGTAGTGCTGAACAAGGCCCCATCGAAGACCTTGAATTACACACAAGGTGCTGAAGACGCTCGTCGAGCATTGGCCTTACAACCCAGCGAACCGCGGTTACATTCTCGTAGACAAGCCCAACCCGCACTCGTCGAGCGCTCAAGTCTTCACAAGTCTCTACCACCATTATTCTTCCGGGCCGGGTATCTTTCCTTAACCCCCCCGTCGGAGTCGAGCTACCGTGGGCCGCAAGCCCACACAAGGGGAAAGGGAGTCTCGAACGCTCCGTAGCGCGTGCCATCGGCAGTGGTTGTTGCTGTTGTTGTTTTTCTTCTTGTTGTTTGACCGTGGGACTGTGTTCGCGGCCTGCCAGGCATATTGCACTACAGGCTCAACGCTTTGAAAGAAGTCGGGAGGATCGGTTTCGTAACTCACTGTGAGTCGCAATCTGACGACAATATCAAGAATTACAATATGAAGATTTCACCTCGGCGACGACAACACGTGTCGCTTTCTATATCTCGCGATGACGCGGGCGCCATCTCGTCTTTTTCGGGTCATGCAGTCGCGGACAACCCGCAGTGGACCTTTTCCCCTGTCAGCACATGTACACTGTTGCAGTTGACCAAAATATCGATGAACAAAAGCTTGTGTCGGTCGAGCTTACGACTGCGGTATGGAAGACTCAATACCCTAGTGTCCTCTTATTCAACGCTCCGACGAGGGATGAGATACTTTACTCCTACGAGTTGCAGAATCTTCGCGATGATTCACTTTGCCTTCCTATCAGCGCCGACGAAGCGCCCTCGTAAGAAACGCGTATACTCTTTCATGGTCAAGGGTGTGCGAATGAGGATGGACCGCAACGCCAATCGCTGAGGGCCGGAGCTTTTTGCCTGGTTCCAGTTCGGTTCTGAGTAAAAGACTATGATGTTCGTCACTTCCATCGTGTAGCCAGATTTACCTCACTTCCGGCTGAGCAAAACGAGCAACCCCTGCGGTCCGACGAGGATCTCGTGGACAGAGCTCATGATCATGAACCATACGATGGGGGAAATGTCGACTATCTCCACTAGCAGAATGACCTTTCTGGTCACGCTAAGCAGCAGCTCATTCGGGACGGCAATATAGATCCACGGCGGGTTGGTGAGGGCCGTCTGGGGATACCAAGACAGAATGATCCGCACTATCATGAAAAATAGAAAGGTTAATGCCGCGGCCCGCTAGAATCTTTCCTGCGAAGATGGCGACTGAGGTCTCTGCGAAGGGCAGGGCGGTGGGGAGGGACGCCACCGCGGGCAGGCAATCTGCGACGCTCAGCGAGGCGCACATCCTGGTCTGCGGGCCCGGTTGGCTGTGGAGGTGGTGCGCGGGACGGAAAGGTGCGCGGCGCAAGGCGCTTCTCTTCAGCGGCAGCGTGCTGTTGGCCACTAATGCCGCCATGTTGTGGCGGGGTTGTGGATGAGGAACGCGCTGGGACGGCATCATCAAGGTCCGCGCTGAGGGTTGGGGATGCAACCTCAAGAGGTGTACAGGCTTGCGGATTGTGTGTACACCTGGCGTGCTTCGATTGATTGTATAGTATAGAGCCGGTTTTGTCGTATCATACCTTGTCCCACAAGAAGCGTAATGAATGACACCGCTCGCAGACGACGTGCAGCGATGCTCCGCTGCGTCACTTCGTGCGTGAACCCCTACCGAGCCTCTCCTCCCGCCTCGACTCCATCCTCGCCCTTCTGCTTCCGCCGCGAATTATCATCACCGGTACGCAGCTTTCCACCATGGGAAGAGGGGACATGGTCTGCGCCTACGCCGCCGGCGCAGAAAGCGGGACATCCCGAACATGCGTCTGTGAGAACGCGGTCGCAGTAATCTGGCGCCGCGCCGCGGGCGCCTTGCTCGGAGCAAGCCCTGACCAAGAAAGACGCCATCGCCGAGATAGATTCTTCTCTCATCCGTCTGCATGCCAAACAAAACGCCACCTCCGTCAAGTCTATCAAGACGGCCGCTGCGAAGCGCCTCGGCCGGGCCGGCTACACGAAAAAGGTAGACATCCACGCCACCGTGCCGCCTGCGCATCGCTCCGCTCTCGCCCCGTTGCTACGCGCCCAGCCCGTCCGAACGACGAGCGGCATCGCTCTCGTTTCTGTCATGTCCAAGTCGCATCGCTGCCCACATATCGCTACGACCGGAAATATTAGCGTCTAATGCCCCGGAGGTCCGGATTCTGACTTTGAGTACTCTACCCAAAGTTACACGGGATATCAGACCATCTCTGTGCGGGCCATTAGGGCCCGTTACGATCCTTATGCCCTTATCTCTACGCACCCCTATTCCTCCCTCAAGCTTCCTTCCCCATAACATCCCTCCTCACCTCGTCCAGAGAATGCGTTCTTGTCGTGTGCTTCCGTTTCTACATCCCAGACGTGTTACTTTTAGTTTTAAATATCTGCATATCACACACTCTCGCCCCTCGGCACTCATCTCCCGTCTCCACTTCCACCCGCCCTCTTTCTCCACCACCTCGCACCACTTCGAATCCCCTTCACTTCTTTCCTCGTATTACCTCTCTAGCCTCTTCCCTTAAACACCCTCTCGTCATGGCCCTTTTGCTGATCTCTGTGTGCCCTACATCCTTCCAAGCCCTCTTCCCGCGGGAGCATAGTTTTCATACTTGAACCGGAACTATTACATCTATATCTAAATAGTCTAGAGACATTTCTGTCAAGATATGGCACATATGACAACAATTTTTGATTATCTGATCCATTCTGACAACATCCCCAATTGACAACGCAGTAATTATGACGACCGTGCTATTGACTGTCAGTGAGATTACTACCTTGTTGACAATGGCTTCTGTACGTCCATCGCCTTGTGATATATTTCAACAATTACAACGGTACCCAGATAATGGCTCTACTATTTCGTCCAGAACGACTTACTGTATAGGTGTCATTCTTGCAACTTCGTCGATTTCGAATAACAATTACAGCTGCCAGGAGATGCTGCAAGATTATGATATTCGTACCGAGATCATGTGGCACTATGTCAACCATGATGGACTTCGCCCTAGATACAACCAGCCACCTGTCACTGCTCCTTGTCGATATTTCCCCGATGGGAAGAATGCTGATCTGAAACGTGTCGGCGCTGGCCCCGTAGGCGCTTTGCACAAAAAGGAGGGGCACAGGCCGACTTGGATAGGGTGCTCTGGAGGGCGTAGATTGTTGTCGCTTTCGGATGCGGTGTTTTTTCGGGTTCTGGCGGTATAGTTGTTGAGATCGACTTCTTTCACCGTTTTCATTCTCAGTGTGTATACTACTTCTGGAGGTTAATTCTCGTGTGGCTCACACTGAGCTTACCACCCTTTCTTTGGGGTGGTGCCACACATTAAACGGCCTTTATTAAACTTAATTAGAAGTTTAACGGTTTGGGGAATGAGGATCCTTTAGGGAATCCTGAAATCTTAGGGAACTGAATCGGTTGCGAGAGGGAATTTCATCCACTACGGACAGATGACACAGCCTTAAAGACTACAGTATTGATAGCAGTCGTAAAGTCGTGACACTTTTCTTAAGAATACAGTGGGCACCTTGAGGTGCGTCAAAACGTGCCGATCAACTGTTCGGTAGGGTGACCCAGTGTAGAATCCGTCAATATTTGATCTAAAAACGTGCCTCCCCTGACTTTTTTCCAGATCGTCAGCAGGTTTTTTCGGAGGTGGTGTAGCCAATGTTCTGCAATTTGTTCTGTTGATACGAATCTGTATCCACTTTAATGTCGATCATGAATCGTCTTCCGTGGTCATGGTTGACTTGATTATCACTTCAAAGAGCGATAGGCTGCCTGTCGGCATCTAAGTAAGAATTGGTTGGTCGATCATTAGCTCCATGTCCTATTTAATCACTTAAGTCATGTAGCAGGCGTCTGCCAAGCCCATGGTCTCGCTTCCCAGACTGATCTTGGAACTCTTTTCGATTTATGGGATAACCAATGCAAAGGGTGGCACTTATCATGCTTTTCTGCCATAAATATGATGCGCCGAAGCTGTGGCGTTTCTTCGTAGTTGTTGCCATACGAAGCGTCTGCATCCGTTTGTAGTCGGAAATATTCTTTTTCTGATTTTGGATAGAGAAGTCTTTGTTCAGACGTCTCTCCAATATGACGAACAAAGGAGTTGAGAAGCTTTCTGCGGGATGTCCGATCCAAGCTAAACATTGTTTCTGTGACTTGCGTAGACTGAGCGATGGCACTCGCAATCTCAGGTCTAGTTTGTAGTAGCCACATTTGCTTGCTCGAAGAGTGCTATACTGCGCAAAACTGACATCTTTAGGTAGAGGATTAATATTCATGATGTACCTTTCTTGATGAAACAGATTCTGTTGCTATTTGTCTCAATATTGACACCGCTGAGCTGCATTTTGTCATATTCTCTGTGTCTGCACTGAAACCTTTTTTCAATACCAGGACTTAGTTCGGCATATTTTGCGTTTCCGGCATGTCACGAGTCATCGACATGCGTATCACATAGACCGGCGAGGTGATTCGCAACCTTCTAGAAAAGGAATCCACCATCTGTGGCACTTGCACTCATTCCGATGTCCATCAAAATATGGTATCTTAAGGTTCTTCCCCATTATTCACCACTATCGGAGAGTCCATATGTGTTTTTAACAACTTCAACAGTTTATTGGGACCAGGTTAAATTTCTGCAGACGGCTTAATGTATACATCTCTCATTAACTTTTCTGCACGTTGAAGATAAGCCTACGTAACTTCAGTCGGGAATTCCAGAAGTCCAAATACTGCTGCTAACCCTATTAATAATTTGACTGAAAAACGTCTAGCCGTAGGGTTATCGTGAACTAAGTAGGATTTCAGCTTGTCCGCGTTACCTTGGACAACATAACGAGCCTTATTTACTACCTTGTTTGTGCTAGAGTCCTTGATTGTTACGAAAAAGCGGCCTCCCAAGATGTTAGCATATGGGGTACTTCTTCCTTGGAAACAATCTTCCGCGACCCGCGTTTGAGAAGTCCTTCTATTGCCTTCGTTTTGGCTGCGGAGAACTGGCGTGCTCTAGGGTCACTTGTTTTGATTTCTTCAGTGATGAAAGACGACAAGGGATTCTTTGTAGCAAGCGGAGAACGGAATATTCTTGTTTGACAGTGGATAACGGGACTGATCACAGAAATATGGCTGTAGTTGGAAGGTGTTGAACATTTGCCAGTATGTTCCTTCTCTGTTCTGAATAGTTATCATTCGTCCTTGGACGTGCATAACTATAAATGGTCCGAACCAGTTCTTATCCTGTTCACTAAGGACTTGTAATGCGTCTCTCAGTTGATATGTTCTATCAGCAGCTGGGGGTATTCCTCTTGTTGACGTAGCTTATATCTTTCTTTCGGCAACAATTGTATTCATTTCCATCTGAGCCAATGTCAGTATTTTCACTCGTTCTGCTTGTGTTGGGAGGTCAGTGCTGATGACTGGAAAGTGAGGAGTTGTCCCGCAGGCGAACAATGATGGTACAAGTCCTTTTTCTCCGATTGCGTAGTTCATCGCTTCTACTTCTATGCTGAGAAGAATTTAATTTTGTGCTTGGGGGTAGTCAGCACGCATTTCCCCGTAAATTCTTCTCAGCGGTTCGTGTATTCGTTCTCCCATTCGGAGGGAGCTGTGAGCTTTGACTCCGGAGATTCTGAGCTGGATGCCGGAATTGTTAGTGAGCTGGAGCCGGCATCGGAAGTAAAGGACAATCCTTGGTCAACTCTGTAGCATAATTGCCGATTATTATACATTCGATTTAGAATTAGACATTCGCTGTAAGGTACGGGCCATACAGCGTACACGCGCGCATACCTTACAGCACGCGCCCGCATACGTGTACGAGACGTGTACTTTCAGCCCCGTTGGCTGACAGTGTTACAGCGCCGGACGACCCGCACTGTCTACAGTAGCTGACTACAGAGCCATACTCACTATACTGTAGTAGGATAACTTTACTTGTACAGTAATCTCTCTTTACAAGAATGACCCGCAATAGAACATTCTTTTTAGTAGAATACACGGACTGTTTCCCGTCCTGGGAATGGCCAAAACACCCCTATTTTCATGACATTTATTCATACACGACATAAGAATATGGAATTTCGAATGTCGCCTTATCCCATAGAGTACAGTGTGTATT